TCAAAAGACCTAATTGTTTATTTTACTGAAAATCTATTTGGATCATTAATTGCTTATGAGCAAGGAGTGACTCAATGATAGATTGATGTAGGTGACAAATAAAAGGAGAAAAATATTGCATTAAAGGTAGATGATTCATAAAGTGATCAGTCACAGCCTGAGGATGGAGATAATATTACACTCATGATAAGGTAATTCAAAAGTTTCATGAGAAGAAAGTAATGGAGATGCCAGCAGTGAAATATGGGTAAGTTCCACAAAAATGTAAAATCTTATAATGATGTAATTTGTTATGAATGCAATAAGCTTGGACACATGAAATATGATTGCCCAAATCTCAAAGCTAATCCTAGCATGAAGAAAGTTGAGGAGAAAACCAATGTTAGGAAGGGCAAGAAAAGTTTATAGAGAGCATTTTGGGTAGACTCAACATCTGATTCTTTAAAAATAGAAGTAGAGGAGGAAGTCATAAAATTGTGCTTAATGGCAGATAATCTTGATCACTCAGATCAAGAGGAGATATGTGGTTTATCTTATATTGAGTTATTTAAAGTTTCTGAGAAAATCTATACTGCATATTGGAAACTTAAACAGCTGAATGCTAAGTTGAACATAGAGTATTCTAATTTATAAAAATAGCATGAAATTTTTAGAAATGATCACACTTCAATTGATAGTAATCATATAAAATTATTGGATGAATTTGATAATTTGAACAAGAAATATAAATTATTAAAAACATCTTATACTAATATTAAAAATGAATGTAAGGTGTTAATAGATGATATAATCAAAAGAGAACATGAGTTAAGAGTTGATAATATTATTTTAAAAAGTGCTAACTTGTATCTTAAAGAGAAACTAAAATCTCTTGAGGAAAATAGAATACCCCCAATACTTAAATAATTTTCTAATCCTGATTAGAATCATAAAATTTTAAAATATAAGAAAAGATAGTTTAACTATCATAGATTGAGAAATCTTTTTCCTAGAGTTAAATATTTTTTATTTAGAATAATTGGTCATATCTCTCACACTTGTATGATTTATAGTAGAACACATCTAGTGTGGAGACCTAAGATGCATAAATCATAGCATATCAAATATGTATCTTGATTATTATTGCCAAGAGGAGAACCTAAACTTGTTTGGGTTGCCAGGTCTAACATTTGATCATTTTATAAAAATGCTCTCATATAAGTCCTTGTGAGAGCATTTGGTTCTTAGATAGCGCATGTTCAAAGCATATGACTAGAGATACAATATAATTCATATAACTAGAAGCCAATAATGGAGGCAAGGTGACGCTGGGAGACAATATCACAAGGAAAATTATAGGTACATGTATAATTAGCAACAAGAATAATTTTTTCATTAAAAATATATTATTGGTAGAAGGATTAAAGCATAACTTGTTGAGCAATAGTCAGCTTTGTGATAAGATTATAGTGTTAAATTTTTTTCAATAAGCTACATTTTAAGCTAAAATGGAATTGATATATTACATGAAAATAGGAAAAATAATATGTACATGCTTGATTTAAATTTTTTTAAATCTTCTATTGCTTTTTGTCTCAAAAAAATTATTGATGAATCATAGTTATGGCATAAAAGATTTTGTCACGCAAGTATGAAAAATCTTAGGAAGATTACCTAGAAAGATTTTGTTCGAAGGATACCCAAATTAAACTTCACGAAGGATCACCTATGTGATGCATGTCAATTAGGAAAATATGTAAATTCCTCCTTTCATTCAATTAAGGATCTTAAACTAATAAATCATTGTAAGTCCATATGAATCTTTTTGAACCGGTTAACACTATAAGTCTAGGAAGTAAGGTTGTTGGGTTTATAATAATTAATGGTTTTTTAAGATTCACTTGGGTCAAATTCTTATTTCAAAAGAGTAAATAATTTGAGAAATTTAGAAACTTTTTTACTTAGAATTAGACGAAACTAGGGTGTTAAATTTTATCAATTCAAAGTAATCATGGATGAGGGTTTAAAAATAAAAAAAATTGAAGATTTTTATAGAGAGAAAGGAATTGGTCATAATTTTTTAGCACCTAGAACCACTCAGTAGAATGTAGTAGTGAAAGAAAGAATAAAACTTTAATAAAAGTTGCTAGAGCTATATTGGTAGAATACTCACTTTCAAAATATTTTGGGGTTGAACTGGTTAGTACGACTTATTATATTTTGAATAAGGTGAACATTAGATCCAAATTGAATAAGACACCCTATGAACTTCTTAAGGGTAGAACACCTAATCTATCACATTTGCATGTTTTTAGATGTAAGGTGTTCATTCGTAATAATAGAAAAACTCTTTTAAGAAAATTTGATCCTAAATTTGATGAAGGAATTTTTTTAGGATATTCTAGTGTTGGCAAATCCTATAAGGATTTTAGCAAGAGAACTTTACTAGTTGAGGAGACTGCACATGTAGTTGTTGATGAATCTGACATTTTGGAAGATCCAAGGTTGTAAGAAGATCATATTAAAAATATCTCCCAAGGAATTGAAAAGACAAATTTGGAAGAGAATGTTGGAATAAAAAATGCTTTTCCTAAAGGAAGTTTTCTATTTTTTTTTTAGAATTGAAAAATTGCATTAAGGGAAAGAAAAAAAAAACAAAGCTATTACAAACTAATAAATCAATGCAACTATCATATTCCTTCTTCAAAATACAAAACAATGAAGAAGGAATATAAAAAAAAGAGGAAGAATCAAAACAAAAATTTTTTATCCAAAGCTAGAGTGGAACAAAAATCTGCGGCTTTATTACCGTTTCTAGAGGTATGGTGGAAGAGTACCTAGTTGAAGTCATAGAGAAATGACATCTTCTCTAAAATCAAACTGTTAGTCATGTATGTTGATTTCATCATAGAATCTTGAAGGAGTTTGATCACATTATAGATTTCTCGTTCAATTATTACACCCTTATATTCAAACATCCATTCATGTAAAAAGTCTTTCAAAGTGACAATAACCTCCAATTTAAGTTGATTGACATCCCAATGCATACTTTGTCTATCGAAAGCAAGGAGCAGTCTACCTCTATAATCCCAAACAATGCCTACCATACTTGCTTTATTAGAATCAAAAAGGGATCCATCCATATTTATTTTGATCCAATCTAGTGGTGGAGGGTGCCAATGAGAGCTAGACTCCAAATGGAGAGAAGCACCGCAGTCAACAAGCATTGGAAACCTGTTTGTGGCGGTGGATAGAATGTTAGCAGCAACAACAGATGAAGGTAAGATAGAGTTACCATGTTAACTATCATTCCGACATTTCCAAGAGTAAAAGATTATAGTACAGTAGATTTTAACAGTATTCAAGCAATCTTTGGCAATCATTGGTAGGGTCCTCTTATTGAAGACAACATTGCCATCAGTAATTGAGAAAGAAGCTAGAGAGAGAAGATTTGAGAGAAAGTTTATTTTTCTGCAGCTATTTTTTAAATTTTGAAGTTCGTGGGTTATTCGCTGTTGCATCTGGAAACGGCAGGTGTTGAGTCTAGTGAATAGGTTGTTAAACCTAAGTTAATGTCCCACGGCTATCAAGACGGGGGGTGAATTGGTAGTTAAAAATTATCCCTCTTTTAGATGAGTTGAACCGAAAATAAATTTAATGAATTACACTATCCCCAGTGTTGGCAGAGAACCGTCCGTCCTTTCACACTCTCCTAGTGTGGGCAGAGAACCCTTCGTCCTTTCACACTCTCATAGTGTGGGAAGAGAACCCGATCTCCTTGACAGATCTCCTCACAAGAAATCTAGAAAGAAGAAAGAAAAGAGTGAAGTAATCTCAAATCACAAGTATGAAATCTTACATTTGAACACCAAGTAAAGCCTTCACGCTCCAGTGGAAGAAATCCTTCTTTGAATGCTCTCTCTCACTCTCTCCTTGAGTATTCTTTCAATAGGCACGAAGATCAATGACCAAAAAGATTTGATGGTAGTCTAATTTGGACTATATATAGGAAAGACAAGAAAAACTGCCCAAAAACATCAAATTTTCAATTTTGTACGCAGTGGATTGTCTTGTACAATCGTGGATCTTTCCGGACGATTTTACTTAAAGTGTCAAAAATGATCCTAATGTATATTGGTATGAACTATATTCGTACACGATCATCATCCCGTACGAACTAGTTCTTCCGATACAAAACGGTTATTCCATAGGTCGGTTTCCAAATCCCTGCAGGACGTAACCAACTGAGGTAAGTCGGTTCGGTTCGTCCTGGGACGAATAAGTTTCATCCTGGACGATTTTAAACTGAGAGTTTCATCCAGGGATGAAGGGTAAATTTCATCCTGTATGATTTTAAACAGAGAATCTCATCCAGAGACGAACCATGTATTTCGTCTGGACGAACAGTGCAAAGTGAGAATCCAGAGGCATTCGTCCCAGGATGAATATTAAATTTGTCCGGACGA